CAGCATTACACCCACTCAGCCTACTCACCTCCTCAATTATACATTCGGTGGTAGCCCTGAAGATGCCCGGCGATCGTGAGCTCTCTCCCCAGGGTCCAACATCTCAAAGGCAGCAAGGTCTCAGGTTCCTGCCCCCTGATAGTCTGGGTTGATCATCTGACGAAGCAGTAGGGTTAGCAGGTAGTGAAATTAAATCCAATATATAGTGATGGTCCAACAAAATCCAATGTTGTTTGCCAGTGTCTCTCCCTGAGCTTCGATGCATTACAAATGGCCAGGGCATAAGCATCCAGTTGTCCAACAAATCCCATAACCGGTGTCTCTCCCCAGCTTCCTTCGCATCTCGCATGTGGTCACAAAATATTCAAAATAGTGAAATCAATTCCATCAGGCAGTGTAGGACTAACAAAACAGTGATGAATGTATTGGTCTTTCAGCACCCCACAGCGCTCTACATGTCAGCTGTTTGTAGGTCTCCAACCACCCTTCTGTGGTCTCATGCATTTGTCTTTCACCCCAAACAGGCACAAGTTACAAGACATCATCACTATATTATCCCATCCTGGTAATGGGGACTTGTATTGACAGTTATGTCAATAGAAACAACGTAGACAGTTGTGTTTTTTCCCCTCAGAGTGTGATGGTTGTGCAGTTTCTTGTCAGGAGGTGAGAGAGAAACACATTAGGCTCAGTTAGCAGTGTCATGATCCTGCCCCGCTGGCTTCCGGTTCTCCCTGCTTTTACTCTGAAAGTACCTCCTGCCACCAGCTCATCCACAACCCCGGTAACTTCATCTCATCATGCACATTGGTTTCACCTGCCACAAATCACCCACACCTGTTCACCACAGCATATAGCAGCTCCTCATACTGTGAGGAGCTGCCAGATTGTTCTATGCCCTATCTAGACTCTCCAGCATTTTTCCCTGAGTGCTTTCCTGGTACCAGACCCTTGTCTGCTCCAACGACCTGTGATCCAGCCTGCTTCTTCTTGTCTGACTGCCAACCTGAGATCGACACCCTGCCTGTTCAACTAACCTGTGATTCTGCCTTGCCTTCCCTGCTGCCCTGCCGGAGACTTCAACCTTGGACCGTATTAAGTACCACTCTTCTGCCTGATCCCCCAAGACTGTGTGTATTTCTGCTAAAATCACCAAAGGACATTAAAGTCCGTTCTACTGCCTCAGCTGACTGGCTCTTTAATTGGGTTCACTCTATCTTCACAGGAGCGTCACTCACCTCCCTGACAAGCAGACTCTTAGTTCTGGCAATGGAAATGTATTATAACCACACAAAATTATTATGGGAGGTATTAACAGTCTGCAAAATCAAAAAAAGCCAGGAGGACGGGACTGAGTTGGGGAAGAGGTCGGTGTGGAGGAGGTCCTTGGTGGAGGTCAGTATTGGTCACCCAGGAGAGGTACCTTGGGACTGGTGTCTGAGGTGACAGAAAAGGACAGAGGAAATGAGTTTATAATTCAGCAGCAACGTAACTCACTGTGACCCTGGAGTGAGTGAGGAACTTTCCCAGAGCTGAGGTAGGGGGCTGTAGGCTGATAGGAGAAGCCATGGGGCTGGAGCGGGTGATTCCAAGGTCGCAGGCAGTGATTGGTGAGCTTAGAGTTGCTGGAAGCCGGAAAAGAGCATGGAGGTGTGATGGGCTTCACTAGAAGAATTGACGATTTGTTGTCGATTGCTTGGAGGCTGGCATCGGTGGAGGAAAGATCGGAAATGCCGAAAACCCAGAGAGAGATTTGTATCTCTTTCTACTACAAACATCAACCCTTTTGTTTTGTCTCTTTCTCTCCTTCAGTGTATTTTGCAGCTCTCTAACTGTTTCACAGATTTTGTTTCTGCCTGATTTAGGCACTCTATACAGTTCGGCACTTATACGTCTATCATGACACATTTACTCACCTGTAACACCAGTGGGGGTGCATTTAGAGAGGGCTATTTAGAACTACATTACACAGGTCAGTAGGTGGTGGTAATGCACCTATGCATTGCTTTGCCAACCATTAAATGCAGCAAGAAGAACAGGCACTCTTTGCATTTCCACCAAACAAGTCTTTGACAAGGTATGTATGTACCAACATCACTCTGTATAACATCTGCATGGATGTGTGTGTGTTCGTGTATTGGGGGTGTGTTCAGGCAATACAGTTTAGCCTGCCTGGTTAACACCTACTGTATGTTGCAAGACTCTATAGAGCATTGTCATTATTTATGATGTGAAAAATCATTATCATTTCAGGATTTGTTCACAGTACACCACACAAGATTTCCAAATTGTTATTAGGCATTTGTGTTGTGATTCAGGGTGATATACCTCCTTCACAGTGCTCTAGATGCAGCCAGTCAATCCTGTATTTTACATATTTGACACCTTACTTTAACAGGAGTGGTACTCTTATTCTTTTTAATAGTTAATCCATGTATGCGGTGTCATACAGTATGAACAGCTGCATGGTGGTGTGTGTGCGTTTTTTCCATGGTTGAGTGGGCAAATTTTAGTTTGATACCAGTGAATTGTGGACATTCTGACATTCTAAGGATTGTGGGTAATGGGCAAGGGAATGCATTTTGTCAATGAGAAAGACAAACAAGGGTGTATGTGTGCAGATTGTGTGAGTCAACGAGACCAGATGAGGCTAGAGTGGATCTTGTATTTGACTTTGCAGGAGTATGGGTCAAATGTACTTTGACCCAAGCAGTGAAACCCATGTCCACCATACACCAACATGTTTGGTGTGTGTGTGTGTGTGTGTGTGTGTGTGTGATAATTGCTGTGGGACACAGCCGACCAGAAAACACACATATTGATCAGGACGTTAGGTGAGAGTGGTTCCTTTCATCCAGCGGCCATCAGCTCAGATTGCTGGGACATCATTGTTTTGCACTTAGCTAATTGCCTTAGTGAGAAGCTAAGCTCTCGCCAGCTTTACTACTGTCTGCTCTTTATTGATATTTGCTCATGGTGTTTGGACAGAGGAGTATATATACAGTCAGGTCCATAGAATTGTGTCAATGTCCCAATATTTAACATTTTTGGCTCTATACACCACCACAATGGATTTGAAATGAAACGAACAAGATGTGCTTTAACTGCAGACTGTCAGCTTTAATTTGAGGGTATTTACATCCAAATCAGGTGAACGGTGTAGGAATTACAACAGTTAAGGGACCAAAAGTAATGGGACAGTTGGCTTCTCAGCTGTTCCATGGCCAGGTGTGTGTTATTCCCTCATCCCAATTATAATAAGCAGATAAAAGGCCCAGAGTTCATTTCAAGTGTGCTATTTGCATTTGGAATCTGTTGCTGTCAACTCTCAAGATGAGATCCAAAGAGCTGTCACTATCAGTGAAGCAAGCCATCATTAGGCTGAAAAAACAAAACAAACCCATCAGAGAGATAGCAAAAACATTAGGCGTGGCCAAAACAACTGTTTGGAACATTCTTAAAAAGAAGGAACGCACCGGTGAGCTCAGCAACACCAAAAGACCCGGAAGACCACGGAAAACAACTGTGGTGGATGACCGAAGAATTCTTTCCCTGGTGAAGAAAACACCCTTCACAACAGTTGGCCAGATCAAGAACACTCTCCAGGAGGTAGGTGTATGTGTGTCAAAGTCAACAATCAAGAGAAGACTTCACCAGAGTGAATACAGAGGGTTCACCGCAAGATGTAAACCATTGGTGAGCCCCAAAAACAGGAAGGCCAGATTAGAGTTTGCCAAACGACATCTAAAAAAGCCTTCACAGTTCTGGAACAACATCCTATGGACAGATGAGACCAAGATCAACTTGTACCAGAGTGATGGGAAGAGAAGAGTATGGAGAAGGAAAGGAACTGCTCATGATCCTAAGCATACCACATCATCAGTGAAGCATGGTGGTGGTAGTGTCATGGCGTGGGCATGTATGGCTGGCAATGGGACTGGGTCTCTTGTATTTATTGATGATGTGACTGCTGACAAAAGCAGCAGGATGAATTCTGAAGTGTTTCGGGCAATATTATCTGCTCATATTCAGCCAAATGCTTCAGAACTCATTGGACGGCGCTTCACAGTGCAGATGGACAATGACCCAAAGCATACTGCAAAAGCAACCAAAGAGTTTTTTAAGGGAAAGAAGTGGAATGTTATGCAATGGCCAAGTCAATCACCTGACCTGAATCCGATTGAGCAAGCACTTTGTCGCAACGCACATCCAGAGAATGGCTGAAATGTGGGGACGAGAGGAAACAACTCAATGTTGAGACTGTCGCATCTAGGTCTCATGCAAGTGCTGACAGAATCAAGGTGAGTTAGATTAAATATAATTATTGGTAGCAGAGTGAATAGTAGAATTAAAATAGGCTCAAACAATATCTTTTAAAGGGTAGGCTACTGTGGAGTGGAGGATTGTTTTTCACCAACTGTAAATGCATGTCATCCTGACACTATGTCTTTATTATTATTTTTTTTTTACGTTTTCCCAAGATTGGGTGTGTTGTAAAATAAATGTAAATGCACAGCCATGGTCAAAGATATTGGCACCCCTGCATTTCTGTCAGATAATGCACCGCTTCTCACAGAATACTGTTGCAATTACAAATTTGTAGGTATTTTCATGTTTATTTCTCAGACAGTTCTTCCCATATTTATGCTTAAAATGTTGTCAGAGCTTCAGATTATTTAGGATACTTTATGGTGTAATATATTAACACTAATAAAGTTTTACTGTCAAACAGAGAAATATAATATTTACAGACTCCCAGCAAATTCAATTTTACATGTGCCTAGCCAGAATGTTGGATGAACCTTTTTTAAATTCTTCTACGTGCAAGATATTAAGGTTTTCATATCACCTGGTTAACATAGTACAGCAGCTACATAAAATATTTCTCCACAGGACCCTTACTAATAAACTTACTACTACTTTTAAAAATGACAAAAAAAATCCTTAAAAATAAAGCACTTTATTTAAAGAAAATACAATGGAAATATAAACTGGAGGTGTAGGCTATAGTTTTTAAAAAGTAGCTAATCCATCACTTTTATGATAGATTAGGGATGAAGGGTTTCTTGTTCACTGAAGCTGCGTCGGCTGCTGGAGGAGCTGTCCTGACGTGTCTACCTGTGGACACCCCAAGACCTTCCTGGACACTTCAGACCGCCACTTGACTGGAGCACAACACTTCCTCCCTCTTCCAGTGCTGATGAAGCTAGATGTGATAAGAATTTTGTGGTGTCATTTGGAAAGTGGTTGTTAAATTTCGTATCTGTAGTACTTGTATCTTTTTTCATGTGCATTATTGTGAGCAATGAAATTACTTTTCCAAAACTTTAGCAACATTGTGTGCATCTACAACCCCAAATCATGAAAAGTTGAGGCGGTATGTAAAATCAAAATTAAAACTGAAAATAGTGATGTGTAAATCATCTGTGTCCTGTGTTACATTGAAAACAATACAGCAGCACATTATCTGATGTGATACCTCATCAATTATATTCTTTGTTCAAAATAAACACTCACTTCAATTTTAATGCTGCGACACATTACAAACAAAGTGGGGACAGTAGAGTATTTACCATGATGTGATGCTGCCGTTTCTTTTCACAACACTTAGTTTAACAGCAACAAAGTTTAGGGACTGAGGACACCAAGTGATTCAATGTGCCCGGTGTCATTTTGTCCCATTCTTCCTGCAAACAAGTCTTAAGGTGTGCAACAGTACTGGGTCTTCTTTGATGTAATTTGTGCTTCGAAAAGCTTCCTTCCTATCTTTCTTTGAGGAACATTGTTTTTAAACATTTCAGTAAGTTTATCACACATATGTTGTCAAACTGGTGGTCCTCGGCCCATATTTGCTACTAAAGGGTTCGGCCTTTCCTGGATGCCACGTTTGTACCAGATCATGATGCAGTCACCTGTTGACATTACCTGTTTCAAATGGAATCATCATTTCACTGTTTTACCTCATTACTGGCCCTGAAATGCGACCGTCCAACTTTATTTGGAATGTGTTGCATCAGAATTGAAGTGAGTGTTTATTTTGAACAAAGAATAAAACTAATGAGGTATCACATCAAACAATGTGCGGCTGTATTGTTTTCAATGTAACACAGGACACAGGTGATTTACACATCACTATTTTCAGTTTTAATTTTACCAACCATCCCAACTTTTTCTGATTTGCAGTTGTATAATAGTAACAAATCTTTACCTCTGACATGTCCATTCTGTGCGTCCATGGACAGCAGTGAACACATGGATGCAGCAGCTGGAGGGTCATTCCTGCAGTGGGTCCAGGAGTGATGTACTGTTAGAAGGAAGAATTACAAACTTCAATTTGACAAGCTGTAGCCCCTTGAAAACAAAAAAGTCTTAGTGAGAACAGTGTATACAGACTTTCTACAGCTCATCAGTGCAGCAGAGTGTAATGGTGATGTAGAAAATGTGGGACACCTACAGCTTTTGATTCACATGAAACCTATCAATGGTTCTTTGAGCTAAAATGTTTGATATCAATGCCTCAATTTGCCAACAATGTCAAGAGTAAAAGTGCTTCTGTCACACCACGTGTCACACCTAGGCAGTGTTGCTCTATAGAGAAACATACTGTTTACGCAAAATTTAGTGCTGTTACAACAGTGATAGATAAACAAGCAAAGTTACCCTGATCCAACCCATTACTCACAGGAAATTTGTCTAATAAATTATTATATTCTGACTGTTCATCAATATTACTAGCCTGAGTTAATACAAGCTACTTTTAGCCACATTAGCTGTGCAGTATTACTTTGCAGCTAAATTCATATGAAAGAAAGTCAATTTTGGCTTTTCCCGTTTAGGGGTCGCCACAGCAAATCGTCACACTGACGACTTGCATGTTGACATTTAGCACGTGTTTTACGCTGGATGCCCTTCCTGATGCAACCCTGATTCAACCCCGGGGCGCAGCGGCAAGAGTGCTGCGCCTTAACCACTAGCCTATCAGGGACGGCTAAATTCATATACAAGCAGTAAAATAACTTTAAAATAGCAACACTTGCTGCATCAGGATTTGAGGTCCATGGGAAAAGCATAGATGGACCCGTACTCTGTTACGATAAATGTATTGTGACAGTCCCTTACCTGCCTAGTTGCCTGCTCGTGGCTGTTTACTGTGTTCTTGTTACCGGAGTATTTTTGTCTATATTCTGAGGTTAGGATCAGTATAGATTACAGACAACAATTTGCACATTCACTGTGAGTTTTACTGGAGCTTATTCTCTGGTTAGGCTGGAGAATGGGTTCACTTTGAAATTTGTTTTGGGGGAAACTAGGGATTTGTATGAATTGTGCATCTGCATGTCTGCATGTTTTGAAGCTGTTACGTAACTGTGGTTTGTATAATCACTGGTTTTCTCCATTAGTTAAGCTTATTTTTCAGTTATGGTGAGTGTAAAAGATTCACCTCCAACCCAAAAGAGAGGGTTTTGGATCAGTACAATAGAGAACAGTTAAGAATCACTGATTATTTTGAAGGTGATTCTGAAGTTTTTTAAAACTGGCATGTCTTCTGATGTTTGTATGTCGCAACTTGGTAAGTCACCTGTTTCAGGTGTGGCTACACCTGTTCGGGCTGCATGTGCTCACATAATTTTGTCTAGTGTGCTAGTGGAAACGAAGACATGTAATCAGACAGATCTATCAAGTTACTTACCTTTTGTGTCAGAGGGTTTTGTTTCACTAGTTGGCAATGCTGGAAAAGTGCCAGTAAAAATCCTAAGGGATACAGGTGAAACACTCGTTCGTTTTGTCTGGCGCATCTGCTTTGCCATTTTCTGATGACAACAATACTGGGGGTTCTGTTTTAATATGTGGTGTGGGTATTCGAGTGTTGCCAGTTCCATTGCATAAGTTGAGGCTGGACTGTGACCTGGTGAGAGCTGAGGTGCGGATGAGTGCATGTCCTGCACTGCCAGTTGCTGGTATAGCGGTTATTCTGAGCCGCCCAACCATCCTATTTGTGCTCTGGCAGCAGACAGCTAATTTTAGGCATAAACCTAACCTTTCTATAAGCTTTGACAATTACTTCTAGAGTTTCTATAGCTAATTATTCTTTTCAAGCTAAAAGATAGTCTATTAGTTAACTGATTATAGCCTATTATGTATAGTTCACCGGCCATAATATCACATTTTACTCTGCTTTCCCTGCAGGTATCACTATTCCATCTCATTATCTTCAGTTTACATACTACTGGGTAGCTTTTGAATTTTCCACTGGGGATCAGTAAAGTCTTAGGACTGTATTTTGTTTTATTTCTCTGATACCGAAAAGTAGTCTAACAAACTGTATCAAATATATGAAGTGCAGTGAAAAGTACATATTTGTCTCTGTAATGTGAAGTTGTGAAGGTAGGTTTTAAGCTTGCATTTAAAAACATCAATACCATGATGATCTTTGAGTAGCCTAAATATTGTACTGCACATAAAACAGACTATTAATTAATCTGGTCTGAGACAATACTTTCAATGTGTTTGATTTCTTCTCTACATCTGCATACCATGCCTGGTGGCAGAAAAGAGAAGTACATGTTGGATTTTCTGAGGCTGGTGGCGAGTTTTAAAGAAATGCTGCATCTCTATTAACACATACGGGAAGTGTCGAGGGAGAGTGTGCCTATACAGAATGTGAGACCAGCATCAGCGCAGCAAGTTTGAACAACTTTGAATATGTTGTACTGATCCTGATGCACTAAATGGTGCCAGCAGCAGCAGTACATACAGCTACAGTAAGCTTTGAGGGCAAAACATGTGTTTACTGCTGCACTGTTTCAAGCTAAACTTTGTCACACAGTACTCAGATGTGTTTTTAACACTATTTGTTGTTGAAATGCTATTTAGCTGGTAGTTTGGTTGGCATCATATAAAAGGCGAGTAGACAGGAGAATGTGAAAGCCTTTGTTAGTGTCAGACTTTTGCACGCAACATATAGCTATTTAGATATATACCAGCATAAACTCGATTTGTATCAAATGTTCTAAATATTCTAGAATATACACTGATTCGTTCACTTTGGAACAGCACTATACTGAGGTGAAAAAGTATGACACTTAAGTGTCAGCACTGTAACTGGACTGAGGCTATTTGAAACTTTTCAGATCTGCATGAGATACATATTACTGAAGTGATCTGTAAATTTGCACATACTCACAGAATACTGCTCTGTTATTCATTTGCACACTGTACATATGCAAATACTGTATATTTAACTTGTACTATATACATCCATTGAACTGTTCACTCATGGAACTTATCTTCTTATTTTGCACTATTTCATTCTATTTCATCCCATTGCACTAGTGTTTTATAAGATTACTGTACATAATCCATTACTTGTAAATTTATAACTGTTCTGTTCATGTTTTGTTTACACTGGTGGTGTTCGCTTCATGGGTGTCCTGAACCCACATCATCTTTTGGCTTTGTAACTCAACATAATCAAAGAATTCTAATCTAAAACAATGTCTGTGCACTGCACTATAATGACTCAGTCGTTAAGGGACATTGTTGGCCTTCAAAGGACTGAAACACCACCGAGGGGATAAATATCTCCAGCTCAACACCAGTCAGTCAGAAATGATGAAGCCTCTTGGATGAGAGGTGAAACGTCTTTGACCTAGAAATCTAGTCCAGTTAATTTTTTCAACAATCTAAAACAATGCAATAATCAACTCTAATAATCAACAGATGTTTACATTTGCCCTTTACCTTTGTTAGATTACATTTTATCATGTCTTGCACTTGATGCATGTACATTGTGTTTTTCTGTCCTTTTTGGGTCCACACACTCCACAGCGCTTCTGTTGCCTGGTGCTGGCCACAACCTAGAATAATGAAAAGATAAGAAATTATACTTAGCACCTAGTTTCTCTCTCTCCCAAAGCAGGAGTGTCTCACATTCAGTATACTGCAACAGCATCACACTTTTACCTCAGGCTCTACAGATGGTCGCTGCACAGAAGGTGTAAAAGGTAAAGGGCAAATGTAAACATCTGTTGATTATTAGAGTTGATTATTGCATTGTTTTAGATTAAAATTCTTTGATTATGTTGAGTTATAAAGCCAAAAGATGATGATCACTGCAGACCCCTCACACCCTGGACACAATTTGTTTGAACTCCTCCCCTCTGGACAGCGTTACAGGTTCCTCTGCGCCAAGACAACTGCCAAGACAGTTTCTTCCCCCGGCTGTCACTCTGATGAACACTTAACTCATGACAGTATGACTGGACAATAACCCTCAGTGCAACACCTGTAAATATACATTGTACAGATTATACAGATCCATACAGGTCTCTCTTTTTAAGTACTCTATCTTTATTCCTATTAATCTTGTTCACAATGAGCATTCCTTTGTCTGACTGCATTGTGTACTGCCTGTTTATACTGCTTATTTAGCATTGTTTGTTGCTTGTTAAGGTCTTTGCAGTACCTGTGGTTCTCGGAAAAATTAGACGACTGGTCTGTTTAACTTTCAACAGTGTACAGAGGCAACATTTTGCCCCAAAGAAGCATCTAATACAATATCACACACCCCTAAAGTGGATCATACCAGTTCGTTTTAGCATGAGCCGCCTCCTGCCAGCAGCATACAGAACCTATGGTATGTGCAGACTGTGCAGCGGTCTGGCTGACTTCATCTGCTGTCTTTCGTAGCTGTAACATGCCTGGTTGCAGAGGATTTTATTGTGTGTGAATTTGACAGCAGTCTTGACTTTTTTGTATTTGCTAATGTTTCTTAGTCATCATGTTGCCCAGCACTTCTGTTGTTTTAAAATGCTTTATAAATAAATCTGATTGGTTGCTTGCTCAAAGAGAAAATTAGTCCCCAAGTTTATCTACGTATCTTACATGACAATTCAGGGTGACTTCCACTGGCTGGATAATGCAGCAGGACAATGATCACTAAACAAAGAAGTAAGTCTACTAATCAAACAAAGACAATCCACCCTTTGGCGCTAAAGAAAACTGTTTCTTTACATACATGTTTATTTCTTAAACATTCCTTGATTTTCACTCTGTATTTGTTTTCTTGCTTTTCTCCACTGTTTCCAGCTCTATGTTCACAGCCTCGCAGCTCTTGAGGAAGTGTCTGAGATGAAGCCTGTGGGCTGTGACCTAGAATTTTAATCAAGAGGAAAAGCGTATCTGCAGCAATCAATACTGTTTTGTTACCATGCTTTTTGTTCTTTGTGACAGCACACTGGCAGTCTCAGCCAACCGTCTTTACATACATGTGGGTTCTATGGGCTGAGAACAAAGACGACACTCGGTGCGATTAATAGAACAGGGCTATGTGGGAGTGATGCCTGGAGCAGTATATAACAATTGCCTGACATGGTGCTACAGTTTACAGGTTTATGGTCAAAAGCATTTGGATTGTTGACCGACATGCAAATAAAGAATACTGCAATCCTTATTGAGATGGAACTTAAACAATCCCTGGGGAGAAATTACATGCATCACCGCAGCATTAAGGATTCAAAAGGATGAATCAGAGAAGCGGCAAACCTGTAAAAACATGAGTAAAAGACAACAGGTCATTTGAGCATTCCATTTAATTATATTAAATATACCCTGTGACAATAGTATGAATTTTAACTCATATTGCATCTGTTTAAAAAACAACAGACATACAGACTGGTGAAAAATGAAAGGAAAACCAAACATAAAGTGTTTTAGTAAGGTGCTGGGCCACCATGTGCAACCAGAACAGCTGCAGTGCACCTTGGCATCGACTCTCCACAGCTCTGAACTCTATTGGATGAACACCATTCTGCCAAAAAGATATTCCCTTGCGTGGTGTTTTGATGATCGCGGGTTGACATGTCGCTCCAACATCTCTCATAGGTGTTCACCTGCATTGGGATCTGGCGACTGTGAAGGTCCTAGCATATGAGTCACATCATTTTAATACTCAGACCATTTAATGATCCTTTGTGCCCTGTGGTGGGGGCATTGTCTTCCAGGAATAGACCGCTCCCATCAGGATAGAAATGTTTCATACACACAATCATTCAGAACAACTCTGTATTGATTTGCTGTGACCCTTGCTCTAAAAGAGACAAGTGGACCTAAACAGTGCCAGTGTCTGCATTCATTATGTTTTTGTACTCATTCATTTGGGAGTTTGTTTTCATGTGTGTCTCCTGTGTGTGTGCGAATAGTAACAAAATGAGTGTGCAGATCTGCAGAAATTCATGCCGTGCAAAACTGCAATGCATCTATATAATTAGTCAAATCAACAGAGAACAGCAGCTGTGTGATGTTCTAGACACATCTACATGATCACATAGCAATTGCACAGACAGAATATGTACTGACTGTAATGATGGACATTACTTACTCCTCCTGTTTCACAAAGCTGCAGGAAGATAAAAGCCGTATGTTCAGAAAAATGTCACTGTCTCTATATTACAGTCACATGCAACATTTAGTAGCCTGGTCTAGTTTCACAGTGGCAAACTGGTTGAAATGGCTGATAATGCTCCTAATGCTGACAGAAAATGATCAAATGGATCTGAGATGTTTTCAGGTTCAGTAGGGTCTGCACTGCTGTGTACCATTTTCAAGAACAATCTGATTCAGATGATGACAGAGGTTCTCACTTTCTCCTGCCTAATGGGCTTTTGTATACTATTTCCCAAGTGGCTACCAGTGAAGCAGAATGAAGAATGACAAACTTAAACAGCATTAGAAAATGGATAACACTTTTTAATACACCCTTTGTTTTACAGTGCAGTTTCATCATATGAGTTAGGTATCAATAGAATGCGTACTGCTTCTTACTATATTTACAAAAGTACTCTAAAATGGCAGTGTTAAAGCCGTCCCTGGTAGGCTAGTGGTTAAGTCACAGTGCTCTCGCCACTGCAGCTCGGGTTCGAATCAGGGTTGTGTCAGGAAGGGCATCCGGCGTAAAACATGTGCCAAATGTCAACATACGAGTTGTCAGTGGGACGATTCGCTGTGGGGACTCCTAAACAGAAAAAGCTGAAAGTGACGTTTTTTCCTACTCTAAAATGCCAATGTTACTCCCTTGTTCCATATGTTTTTTTCCACTGTACCTACATTTAAGAACTGATAGAAACCAGTAAATATTTTATAGGTAAACTATTTATACACCAAATTTACATGGTAAAACATACAATTATTGTAAAGACTATAAAGTGTGGTATTTTCTACTATTAAATCAGTCTATAACAGCCAGATGCCCCTGGCAATATGGCGGCCAATGAGACACATCTGAGAAGCCCTGACATGGCATCTAGTGTGTGTGTGTGGCCTTGTTTTTCAATACTTGCATAGCCTAAAATCCATGAGTTACTATCTTTGTCGGGAATGGATGTCACTTGTGCGGATCGTAGTTTGTCAGATTTTATGAAAATAATGGGGTGTAAGGTTAGAGCAAGTGTAGGCTTTGGTTATGTTAGGGTTAAGGTTAGGCAAGTAGAAGTTCTGGTTAAAATTAGGGCAAGTCTCCTTGAAAGGAATGCAAGTCTAAGTAGGGACCTGGTAAGTGCCAAAAACAAGGATGTTGATGATGATGATGATGATGATGACACTTTATTACAGACTCAAGGTCCAGGTTCAAAAGAAATAAAAGCAATAAAAGAACAGTTTAAAAATGAAACAATAAAAACAGAAAATACATAAAAACGAGAGCACAAAAACACCCATAAAACTACTGCCCCTTTAAAAGACAGGTATACCAGTGTTTCCAGAGAGCAGAAGTAAAACGCATGTCACTGTGTGCAAGATTAGTCAACAATAAAATGATATGATTTTTTGAACTATTCAAGCGACAAATAAATTTAAACATCAGGTTTCTTAAAACAGCGGAAAATGTACTAACTCGAGATGACACGAACAATTCGCTAGCACTCGTCCATCTAGGCTTTCTCAATAATATCCTTAGGGCGTCATTGTAAGCTACTGACAGTTTCCGAAGACTGCCCTTTTTATAATTACACCACAGATGGGCAGTGTACAAGGAAGTACAATACACTTTAAATAAAGGCAGTTTTACTCCCACGGAGCATGCACCAAATTTCTGTGCCAGTATATTAGCTTGTACATATAACATGCGGCACTGCCGATATATATCCCCGTCATCAGACAAACAATCATTAATGACATGACCCAAATACTTAACTTCACTGCACACAGTTAAAATATTATCAGATAACTTAAAAGAAGGAAATACAAGGGACCTGTCCTCGTTTGTACGGCATATCATAATGACACTTTTGACAGCATTATACTTGACATCGTGACATTCCCCAAACATTGAGCACACGTTCAAGAGCTGCTGAAGACCTGCTGAGCTGGGACTAAAAATCACAAGGTCGTCTGCATACATTAA